TTTAAGACTATTTAACTTTTAAGTCATTAATTGAATGAAAATGCATTGAAATATGTTCAAAATGTAAATTAAATTATAAATTCTGAAAAATAAAAAAAATATTATCTGAAAACTATAAAAAAATATCTGTAAAGCGTTAATACTTAAACGAGTGTAGTTCAATAGAAACCTGCTCTAACAAAAAAACTCCCAACACGTTTTGTAAATAGGCCTACCTCTTAAGTCACCTCGAAGATAATAAATACTTGTACCTACTGGATGCGCGTGACAATTAAATAAAAAATGGCATTTTTTAATAATTATCCCTTATTTTTCAACAGTTAATAACAAATTACAATTATAATTTATACACAACGTTAACATTTACACATAGAGTACAAAAACTATAAATTTATGCACATTAATTCATTTATAATGTTAAATTCTAGATTTGATTCTAGGAAATAGAAAGTAATGACTGACGACACACGCCTTTCAATTTTTATTCGAAATTTTTCTCGCTTTAAAATTGACTTCCATTCACACTCGACGACTAAGAATTCTTTTAGTTTTGTTTTTAATACGAATATATTTGTAACGAATTAAAACGTTTACTACGCGGACAAGTCACAAATATTATTATTATAATTACTATATTATTATATAATTATTCTCGTTGTTACTTTGATATTATTGTACATCGTACAAAAGAAAGGACCGACGGTCGATAATTAACATTTCTTTATTCGTTAGACGACCGGTACAACTGGTGAGGCAAGAAGAAACAAAAATTTTTATTATTATTTATAACAGTACATTTATAGATATGTAAATTAAATTAAAAGTAAAAACAATTTTAATTGTAGTCTACTGAACGATTGCCAAGTCTACGAATGGAAGATTACGACATTATACGAAATTCGAACATATTGAAGTAATTTGCACATTTATAAAACAATTTCTATCGTAAAAATACAAGAAACTAAGTGGGCGTTGATAGACAATTTGGCAATTTATCAATGGCAGAATCTCCATCCAGCGGTTATCTTTACTACATTTGGGATAACTCGATACATTTACATCTTCAAGCATTCAATCGGCGAAATATTAAAAATTTTATTTTTAATGTTTAAATGGGCTTTGCGTTCGTTTCCCTTATTTTTCTACGTTTTTAAGATTAAGTCTAATTTTTAGAAATTCGACGTCTTCATTAATTTTTTAAAGTACATCTACGAGGAAGAAAAAGTAAAATTCTTTCCATTCACGATTCATTAAAACATTCTTATGTTTATCTTTTTTACAATACCGAATGTAATCTGCAGCTCGTCTACAATCCTTTTGTTGGAATAAAAGAAACGTGACTAATTTTACCGATATTATTCATTTTTCGTGCACGTCATATTTTAATATAGGCTACAGACAGACAAAAAATGCTTCCGGCTGATGTTGTCCGGACTGGAAATCTCGACCTTACGTAAATCAGGATAGAGACAATTGCTTAAGCCAATAACTTAGCGATCGATTGACAGGTCGAGGGGTGATTATTACAATCTTCTTGCCAGAAGTTCATTCCGATTTTCAACCGAGCGGTATATTATTGTGTTTTTTCACCAAAGTGAAACGCTTTCGAAAAGAGAAACTGTCGATGTTACGTAGATGCAGATTTGTGTGAAGTAAACTTTTTACTTAAAATTTATTTAGAATTTCCATCTCGTTAATTAATTCTCTTTGTGTCGAATAAAAGAATGACGAGAACTAGAGACAAGCTCCACGGAAAGGTAGACACGGATTCATTAAACCGTCACGAAACACATTAATATTCATTTTTTACATTCACACACTCTAAACTTTCAACTAATTTTGGTGACGGTTTTATCTCCGATACACTCTCCGAAACTTACACAAATACGTAGAATTTCTGAAAACTTTCTACTTTCGACCATAACGTCTGTAATTATCCATCCCTAATTCCTTAGGAAGTAGCCCGCTACGCCGTCCTAAATTTACGANCAACTAATTTTGGTGACGGTTTTATCTCCGATACACTCTCCGAAACTTACACAAATACGTAGAATTTCTGAAAACTTTCTACTTTCGACCATAACGTCTGTAATTATCCATCCCTAATTCCTTAGGAAGTAGCCCGCTACGCCGTCCTAAATTTACGATATCGTTACGAAATTTGAACGAAATACTGCAAATAAAAATCACATTTTAAAATGAATTGCTGAAAGAATTACCACTGTATAAATCATTTAAATTGGGCACGCGTTCCTGATAACCGGTCTTGAAATTTTGTTATTCCTGTCTGATAAATATCGTTGGAAAATATGACCTCGTGTATGGCTAAAATAATGGAAATTACAATCTATACAAGTACTGCAATGCGTACGGAAATAAATCCACATTAATGAGAAAAATACTCCTGCCACATAAACTTTCAATACAGAAAACAAAGGAAATCATTTCATATAATGGCAGCACTTTTACAGACTCGCCGCCGGCATTCCCCTGTTTGACCTCGACGTATCGTAAACAAAACTTAGGATAGGCTGCTTGACTCTGTTAACAAAATTCCCTTCTTATCTCTTCTTTCAATCATAGAAAAGGAAAATATTATCCTACGCGAAAATTAATTAAGCAAAATCGAATATATTCGAAGTGACTACAGAAATATCTCGAGTATTCTTCTAATGTACTAAATGATCTATGTACTAAATGAAAAGGAGGAACAAAGACCCACTCTTTTCTATATAATATGTTTTCCCTACACTTTCGGAAGAGAGTGTATTCTCCGATAACCTAGTTATTACGTTACTTCTCCGAAGTAACGTAATAATTAGGTTACATAAGAATAGTTTGCTAATATGGTTTTCGGATCCACAGACTTCGAGTGTGAAATATCAGGCGGTTATAATTAATTATAAACGTGGATATAGTTAAATTTACTCGAAGCCTCCTGTCCTTTAAACGTGTCTCCAAATCGTATTGTACGTTAATAATTCAAGGAGTTGTCGCATTTCATTTTGATGGACAAATCAAATATATGTCATAGTCATTCTGCAAGATGCATTTCGGTCTAGACCCCTCTTCGGTGGCAGACTACACAAAAGGTAGACTTTGGTTCTCGATAAAACCAAAAGAAAAATTATTAAAAATGATTAAAATAGAATAAAAGATAGTATAACTGTAAGTGTAAAAGTTGATTAATGTGCATTAACTTTTTGAGAAAGAGTCTATTTAAGACGTTAAGTAGTTGTAATGAGTCATAATATAAAAGTGTCTTTCCTTATTTGTTGAAAAGGGCAGAAAAAGTGACTCTTTTAACTTAAAGTTTTACTATTTTACTATTTAAAGCGTTTTTATAATTCGAACTTTTCTAAATTTATATGTTAAATTAATTTTTAAATGATGTATTTTTAATTTTTATTTTTAGTCTTTTATTTCATTTAACAATTTATATAAATCTATTTTAATAATTTTTATTATTATTCCTACATAATTTAATGTTTTAAACCTTAAATATTTTATATTCTATTAATTTTAATTTTATAGAATTCATATATTTTATTCGATAGGTTATGAGTTTATAAAATAATTAATAATAAGGATGTAAAAGTATCCCCAGGTAACTCTTTTTTATAATATAACTAGCAGGTGGGCCCGGCGTTGCTCGGGCAAAAGTAACGATAGCGAAGATTAAGATTATTACGTTATAGTTAACCTTACCCGTTTTCGCAGAATGCAAAAATTGGATCCCCCGTTTCCAGACTAATTAGAGAATTTTTACATGGGTCTAAAAATATCTTCAATTTCCTGCAAAAACGAAAACCAACTGCACTTTCTCTTAAAACGTCGCTTTTTCTTAACAATTCCATTGTTACGTAACACGTCCATTGTTACGTAACACTTCCATTGTTGACACTTCCATTGTTGACACTTCCATTGTTGACACTTTCATTGTTACTTAACACTTCTATTGTTGATGGAAGTGTTAAGCTTAATCCTGTCCCTCTCCCCCCAGGGGGGCATTTCGAAAAATCCCTTCTTAGTGTGCGTTTTCGTGACGTACCCTAACTGTGTACCAAATTTCAGCTTCCAACTCCTAACCGTTTGGGCTCTGCGCTGATTATTATTATCATCAACTCGTCTCGATTATATATATAGATTATCATTTATTTTTAGTTTATTTCATTCATTTTATTAACTGAGCATATAGTTTCACATTATCAACTTTACACTCACCATTATAGTATTTTTCACACTATTTTAATTATTTAGAAATAACTATGACGCGGCTAAAAAGTCAAGAAGCGAATGTTTTTAGTGAGAAGTAGGGTCGAAGAAGCCAATCGTTTACAAGAAGACAACGTAATTAGTTATTACTACCTGGAAGATGTTGATTGGAACGACAGATGCTAATTGTCGACGTACAGTAGCCTTAAACAACAAGAAAATAAATCTAATTATCCATAGAACAAAAAAATAGAAATGTCTGCTTTATACGGACGATACGTAATTATGGTTTCAAGTAATAATAATTAGAAATAAACCTCAGTATTTTCAAGAATAATTGCTTTAAAAACTCACTTCCAAACATGTTTAGATATAGAAAATTATTTAATTAGTTATAGAAATATAATAATTATTTTTTAACTATTTATAATTGGTGAAATCAGTAAATAATAAAATATATGATGGCAAGTATTAAATTTAGAACTAAGTTTTTCTAACGATCAACAAAATTGTGACAATGCCGAAGGGCTCCCTCTATGCTTCGGCATCACAGGACCGAAGGATCGACATTGCGTCGGCGAAGACTGCAATGACAAATTTATCAGGACTGACACCACTGTGTCTTCTGGGTACACACAAAGACCGTTACGTTCGCGTTTACGCGCGAGCAGTCGGTCTGTGGGCGGTTGGACTCGTGATGGAGACCGCTCGAGGAAGCGCACTCAACACAATTCTAACAGTAACAAAATTCATTTATTAAACTAATTATACAAAAGAGTATTTACCTTAAAGTTTCTTAGCGAGAACCGAGTTGGAGAGAGAGCTTACATAACATCGCGGGTCATTCTAAATACGTGAAGCACTATGTACGGATTTTCAGATGTCTGTGTAGTCGTTGAGACGCCTTGGAGATGTCTCTGTTGCCTCGGATGGCGGTTAAAGTCTATCGAAAGTTGAGTGCCGTTGGTTCTTCGTAGGTGTTCCCGGAGATACACTGGATATTTGGAAAAAGCGCGCGGCGACGAGCGATGATGATAAATCCTTTCGGCTGTCACACAAGGAATATTCTAGCGGATTCTCGACCCCTCTCACTGTTCCTTGAAGTCTCCTCTTTATTTCCAAGTCACGTTGTCGTTTTCCACCAATAATGAATTTTTTGTTGTAGTTCACAGTGACACATTCTGAGTTCCCTGAGAAAGGAAACGACTCGGGGAAGAGAATTGCACTCATCCTTCGGTAATAAAATGGAAAAAAGTTTTTTTCCTCTGAGATTTAAATAAATTTCCTTTTCAAAAAGAAAAATAAATTTTCTTTCGAAAAATTCCCGACTAAAATTGTGGGTTTTCTTTCCGAAGTCCGACTTCTCACAAAATGATACGTTCAAGTTGTTTAAATTTAATTGAAAATCATCCTGATTGACATCGGCATTCGACTAGGTGTAAAGACATTTAAAGCTGAAATAAGTAAAATTTTATTTCATTTCAGTATTAACGGATAAACCTTTACATTTCGTTTTCGTAATAGGAAACATTTTAACCCCGACTTAACGAAACATTTCTTCCAAAATTATTTCTATTCTTCTGGTTATTACATCCGCCTGACAAAAAATTGTTTTCAATTATTATCTATATATTTAGAAATTCGCCCATAAAAATACGGGTAAAAATTAGATTTTTCTGTTGTTATATAAATATCTAAGCGATATCCACGATTTGATTTGTCAATCGGCGTGGCTTGTTATATTACTTTTACAAAACACGGCTACCAATCTCCGCCCGAAAGGCTGGACAACTGCGGGGTGTGTCGCGACGGTAATACCAGCTTTCTGTTTTTATTTCGAGGTCGTGATGAACGAGATAATTATTACGTGACTTCTCAATTCATTCCCGTCGCTANAAAAAATTTTGGAGTTTGGCTGGTCTGTTTTGCCTCATCCACCTTATTCACCAGACCTGGCACCAACAGATTTCCATCTTTTCCGGGCACTGCAGAATGCTTTACAAGGGCAATGCTTCCAAAATGATGACCAAGTTCAGGAGTTCGTCCAGGAGTTTTTGATTCGAAACCACCAGAATTTTATGCAAGAGGAATTGACAAGTTGCCCGAAAAATAGCAAGAAGTCATTAATAATGATGGTGAATACGTGATAGATTAAAGTCTATTGCTGTACATTTTATTGGCAAATAAATTTCAGTTTAGAAAACGGAACTTATTTATGACAACCCAATATATTACTTTTACAAAACACGGCTACCAATCTCCGCTCGAAAGGCTGGACAACTGCGGGGTGTGTCGCGACGGTAATACCAGCTTTTTGTTTTTATTTCGAGGTCGTGATGAACAAGATAATTATTACGTGACTTCTCAATTCATTCCCGTTGCTACGTGGGAAACACGAGTCTTACAGACTCGACAAGGTGCTTAGTAAGCCGCTTACTAAGCACCTGGTCGAGTCTGTAAAATATTAATCGAAATATTAAGATACGTAAGCGACGCCTATTCGTTAAATATTAAATTTATAAACAATATTTTATTTGAAAATAAAGTAAAAATTATAATAATAGTTTTTAAATTTCGAGTAAAATGGCCTCGTTCTAATTTTAAACCAATTTATTATAATTTCTCTAAAAACTGGTTTGAGACAAATTTGTCACGCACATTTACTGGCTTCTCTACACAGCACGTTCTTTAATCTGTTTTCTGTATTGGAAGGACGTGTGAGAAATATAAAATTTAATAGTCCTTTTTATATATTTTACCAAACAGAACATTGAAATTTAGAGTGAGAGGGTAGAGAGACTGTTTCGAAGACAAACGAATGGCTAGAGAAAAGATAAACAGAAGTTAAGAATGGAATCGTTCATAAGAAATAGACCTCTTTCGTACAGGACGTGGAAAGATTAAACAGAAAACGGATGGCTAAAATCACGAAAGACGAAGCACGCTTTGGCGAACACCGTCTCTCGGGACCCAAACGTCGTTGATNGTTCAACGAAGTTTTCGCAGAAAAATAATTAATCAGAAATCGTGGCCGCCGTTTAGTGCGCTGCTCTGTGACAAAAACAAGCTTAAGCAATGGCGATGTCGAACGGTGCACACTCGGTAAGTAATCCTACAATTTTTGTTTATAGCATAGTTTATACGAATTATTCCCAAAAAAATATACGTGTTTTGGAAATGTTGAGTCAAATTAGTCTAGGAATTGATTAATTTTATGGAAGAAAACCTTTCAAACAGCTGTAGTCTGTAAACTTCACAAGTGTCGGGCTGTGATTGGCAAGGTCTCCTAAAACATCAATTTCATAAAAAAACGGAACGTATCTACCGTTTTATGGGGGGGTCAACTGTATATTCTTATTAAGTTTATTTTCTATTGTTAACAATTTTGCAAATTGTTATATAGTTATTAATAGACTGGCTTACCATTTTCAAGTTGGTAATTGTCATTCCATTGCATGTTTTCCTGTCTTTGTGCAGGATATTCATATTCAGAAGTCCTGTGTAATGAAGCTTGTCCATTAATCTGTACAGGCTGTGCAAGTTTTGATGATTCCGTTACAACTGTCGAAATTTGTTTAACTTCTTTAGATTGCTCTTTTGAGTTTGAATAGGAGTCAGACTTAGAAATTCCTATAAAAAACAAATCACCATCATATCAAAATTAGAATGAACAAATTATAATGCATAAAAATACATTCAAAATACATGATCTTGTGAAATGAATGTTACCATTTTAAATTACTGTAAATATTTTCTGAAAAGTATGTGATGTACATCAATCAGGAAAGTAACCATTCAAGTTTCATGTCCCATCTGCATTCAAATGTTTTGTCATCTGAAAAGCACTGTAAACAAAAATGGAAACTATGACAGAGAAGGCATTGTGTTCTGCAGTTTGCAAAGTCGGAATCACTCGTCATTGTGCAATGTGAGAAATCTGCAGGAGCCTTAGTGTTGTAATTATCATGGGAAGAGTAATAATGGATCTTCCATAGTGAGTGTAGGAAGACTGACTATTGATCAGATGTGTGCTGTGTGACAAGTAATGCACACACAAAAATTGTAATGGGTAGGATGTGAAAGTTGGACAGTTTTTCAATGATTTAATGTACTGTACATTACAAGGTTGTCAGATAATAATTAACACAATTACAATAATTAAAAATGGTAGCATTCTTTTTGGAAGGCCTTGTATATTGAATATATGTAATCTCAAAACATAAAAATATAAAATAGTTTAGTATTACCAGAGTTAGGACAATGTAAATCACTACTTTCATCACTGCCATCAGGACACTGTGGAATTCCATCACACACATTATATATGGCAATACAGTCACTGCTGTTCTGGCAACGAAACTGATAATGGCGACACTGAACATCTTAAAAGTCAAGAAAGTTTATTAATTAAAAAAAATAAATAAAATAAAAATGTTCATGTACAAATAAAACTATGTAATAAACTGTAATAACAAAACTCCTTTTACAGTTTAAGTAACAAAAGAATATAAAATATAACAACTTACAAATTGCAGATGAGTAAATTATATAATAACAAAAGTGTCTCTTTAACCAGTTAACTTATATTGTACCAGTTATACAGGGTGTATCAAAATGACGTTTTAAAAATTGGGGATTGCAGAGGATGAAATTTTGAACGTTTTGATATAAGGAACTGATAGTTGGAAATGTGATATAAAATTATTACAGCACTACTCTCACTTCCTCAGCAGTTTACTTACAATTATAATCAAATACCAAACAATTTGCTAAGCTTATTATTTATTTACTGTTCAAACGTTTTCAGCCTACTTCTAATAGGCCATCCTCAAGACATTACCGTTCTACAATCGAATAGAAAACTTTCGAATACATTTTAAATTTAAACTTTTAACACAAGGGTGTCCAACCTTTTTGTTTCTCTGTGCCGCATTAAAAGAAGTCGAGGAGTTTTGGGCCACAAGTACTATACATATAATATATACTTGCGGCCCAATATACAAGTATATTTAAGGATTAACGTTACTAGATTATAATAATAAGTATTAAATCTTTATCACAAAAAAGGATATTTTAAAAAATTACTTCTACAGACACTTTCAATTTTTACTTAGAAATAGATAAATTCATTTATTATAAAAGAGACATACGGAAATTTATTTGAAAAACACAAATATTTGTTATATTTGGGTCTCTAATTAATAAAAAGCGACGAAACACCATTTTAAAAGTGCATTTTTGTTCAACTAATATACAGTAGAGCGTCGTTTATCCGAATCAATTTATGACTGTGGTTGTTCGGATGTTATTTTTCGGATAACCGATTACGCACGAAAAAATATATTAACCTATTTCGTGTTAAAATTTTTCTCCGTTGCGTGTCGCTTTGCGTTGAATTTTCGTCGATGTTAAGCCTAATACTACGTTCGCACACAATCCACGACTCACTTCAATCTCGATTTACCTACAATCTGGATTGTGACTGTCGCTAGTCGAACGTCGTACTGTTCGCATAGGCAATCCGCTCGAGAAGAACCTGGCTATTACACGCGATCATAAAACTGACGTAACTACCCGGTAAGTCAAAATGGAAGTTTTGGTTAGAAATAAATACTTTTTCTTGCTATACATATAATAATAGACAGATGTCGTCGTCTCTCTAGATGTCTTTTTTATTTCTCTGTCGATAGCCCGACACGTGTTCCGCAGCCATCTTGTATTTTCTCGGGCGCATGGGATTGTGGGATCTCTCTTATGACTGCATCTAGTTTCGAGAACACTCTCCAGTCGATCGCGATTGAACCTCGTTGCAGTCGAGATTGAAACGGTCGAGAGCGTTCGCACCACGGAACTGCCTCCGACCTTAGTCACAATCTAGATCGAAATGCTCGGTGCGAACGGTATAACATCGACGAAAATTCAACGTCTTTTTAAAACAATAATCGTGGCTATTGTATCGCTAAAAACTATTTTTTTATTTTGTACGAACAAAATAAATATATTGAAAAATATAAAAACAATAAAAAATTATACTTCAGAAGTTAATGTAGTATCAAAAATGTAAAATATTTGAGCAGCCCAAGACGTAGCCAAAGATTGCAGCGCCACAGCACTAGCGAAAATTTAAATTTGCCAACAGAATTCTTTCGGATAACCGACGTTTCGGATAACAGACTTTCGGATAAACGACGCTCTACTGTAATTATAAATAATATGCAGCCGAAAAAGTAGCCAATGCGCCAAATAGTATTTTTTACGTCAAACAAAAAAAAGTAGCCACATTTGTCGCAATGTAGCCAAATCTTACAACATTGGAAAAAATACTAAATAAAGCTGTGGTTGTGAATCAAAGGATTATAGACCCATGTGCAGGGAAAGGAGAGAAAGAACAAAAAATAAAAAATTAAGAAAGGTTGGAAAATTAAGGGTCAACAGCAGATCTATTTAACCTTTTTCACTTTTTTATCTTTTGTTCTTTTTCTCTTTTCCCTGCACATGGGTCTATAATCCTTTGATTCACAACTACAGCTTTATTTAGTATTTTTTCCAATGTTGCAAGATTTGGCTACATTGCGACAAATGTGGCTACTTTTTTTGTTTTTTTGTTTTTTTGTATATTGGGCCGCAAGTATATATTATATGTACAGTACTTGTGGCCCAAAACTCCTCGACTTCTTCCAATGCGGCCCAGAGAAACAAAAAGGTTGGACACCCTTGATTTAGAACAATGGACCACCTGTACGACCGTTCGAATGTTG